TTTGTTACACACGTTTTAATATTAAAATTGATTATAATACATGTGGATGGTAGAACCTGCACAGTCAATATTTGTCAAGAGTTTCAAGAGGATTGAGTCTTCCGAGTACGAAATCACACACAAAGGAATGAAGAGGATTCTTATTGCTGTTTCTGTCAAAACTTAAGAATACAAGAGTTTCGGTGTAAAAAATTGCGGATCCCCTTTTTCAGGGAGTTACATTAATATTTATAGCAGACTAGGTCGGCTAGGTAACCCTAGATAAAATAGAAAACTTTCCTTATCCTTTAGAAGTTTCCTTCCATGAATTCGACCACTCCTAGTGGGTTGCGCCGACCTACTCGGCCCACCTCGTCATGCCTTGGGCTCGGCCCACCTCGTCCATCACGGGCTGGGCCCACCTCGTCCATCACGGGCTGCAACTCGTCATGGGCTTCATGCTTTTGCAAACCCACTTCTCCATCACGAATTTGTCTTTGCCGCTAAGTAGTGTTCTTGGCCTTGCCAGGCTCGGCGCTCTCGTCTTGCGATTTCGACAGCACCGTCGCGCAGTCCGTCACAGGTCACCTTGTCGCCAAGTCTTTCTTGCTGGACTAGTCACCTTGCACGCAGTCTGCCATGCCAGACAAAGCAGCTCGTCACCTAGTCTGTCATGCCATACATGTCACCTTGTCACGCAGTATGTCATGCCAGACAAGACAGCTCGTCACCCAGTCTGTCCTGCCAGACATGCACCTTGTCACACAGTCTGTCATGCTAGATAAGGCAGCTTGTCACGCAGTCTGTCCTGCCGTGCATGTCATCTTGTCACGCAGTCTGTCATGCCAGACAAGGCAGCTCGTCACCCAGTCTGTCATGCCAGACATGTCACCTTGTCACGCAGTCTGTCATGCCAGACAAGGCAGCTTGTCATCCTGCCAGACATGTAATCTCGTCATGCAGTTTCCATACTTAGCCATTTTGTGGCTTTGATCCTACAGAGGTGGAATCCGACCTTTAAAATACATCTTTAATCATTCAATCCCACGTGTCAAATTCTAGTCTATTATATAAACAACACGCAGATCACGCTATTGTAAAGAACATGCCAATT